AGCTGGGGACTGTAAGTTGACCACCAGTTGTCAATCCACTACACGTGTACAGGCACCTTACACTTTCTCCAAATGCCTTCTCTGCTCTATCATGTAGGGCCATGCTGAGTCTGGCCTATGACACCAACTCTTTTGTCATTAACAGGCATATTTCTCTTTAAAGCAGTCCATTGTCTTCCTTTAATTTGCATTGTTTGATATTCTATTCCTACCACAATTCTGTCAGATTGATTGTGAATATTTGTTTTCTATAGTTACCAGAGATCTGCAACTGTAAATCTAAAACAATGGATAGATACAAGCTTAAAACAATCTCACATGTTTGATAATAATTAAAAAGTCTATGCTTGAAAAGAAATACGTTTGGTGATATGTAGGAAAGTGAATGTTCACATGAGCCAGCCCACCTACTTTATATCAATTTAGCTAAAGCCCAGAAAGGGGCAGTCTGCTATAAAGGCCCTGATACATACATCATTTCACTGAATTCACAGAATAATTAAATGGTACTCTTTAGAACTGCTATCCTACCTTTTATAATAAAAAGATAAAATCCCATAGAAAGTGGTAGATTTGAAGCAAAGCATGAAATAGGTAAATACCAAACTAAAGATGTCGTTATATGAATTTCATTGAATAAACCATAGCAACTCATTGACTACAGAGTATAGTACATTAATGGCAATGCGGGCATTTTTCTATACAGCCCAATTATGTACTCTGTATCAACATCAGCCAATTAATTCATGTCTGGGAATTATATTTCATGGGTGAAATCAACATAACATCTTTTAATTTTAAGACCTCAAGGAGGGATGTCACATTTCTTATTCCTCCTAGCATTTAAAAAACTCTTGATACTTTTCTAGTATTTTGTAGGAGACAAGATGTGGTTAATAATGTGGCTTGATCTGCTGAAATTCAGATTCAACCCTCATCTACTTCTGACTGACTGTGTGATTGGATGTAAAATATATAATACACCTTCATCTTCACTTTTTTGCCTTAAAATGAAATAATGCATAATAATACTGTTTGATGATTAAATGAGATATTTAACAAAGTGAATCACTGCACTGTACTCAGCAAGCATTCAATAAATAGTAGCTATTTTATATTTGAAAAAGTACAATATAAAAGTCCAGACAGATAATAACTGAGGAGTGTGTATTTTAACCATTTACAGCTTTCAATCCCAAATATATTTACTAAATCATTACAAAAAATACTCCCAGATTGTGATTAATGTCTAGCTTCAATGGATTAAAGATGTTATTACTTATTATAAAGCACAGATCATGTCCCAAAATAGAGCAAAATTTGCTTGGGAGTGGGAGCTTAATTGGCCTAGAAAAATATGACTAAATTGTAGGACAGTCCTAAAGGACTGCATGCTGATGATAGCTTTGAATTTAATATTTGATCAGTCAACAGAGTGGTTTGTTCTTTTCCAGTTACATTCAGCAGCATGTTTACAACTAAAATGCAGAATAGGATGTAAGCAAATTTGGCAGTTTACTAGTAGGCTGTAAGACGTACACCTTAGGCAATTAGGGGGTGGTAGGTTAGGGGTGGAATGTCGCTCAGTGATAAAGCATTTGATTGGCATGTGAGGTTCTGTGTTTGATGCCCAGAACAGAGGTTAGGGAGTGGATAAGCCACACTGCAGAACATGAAATAAATAATACTCATTAGATTAAATCAATACAAGGTAATATCTTGCTCACATTGTATATCCATCAGGGTCAGTGGGAGAGAGGATTGCTGGTTGTATTCAGACTTCTACAAAGTTAAAGTTGACATTTCAGTGTTTCAATTTCCAAGCATCCTTAGTTTAATGTTTCAATATTTCAATTTCAAGACATCCTTAAATCATCTCTGCTCACAACTCCTATAGCAGAGCAAGGCTATGGCTACTTTTCACAAAAGGACCAGGAACCATGTTCCTCTATGACTGCCCGACAGTCATAGCTTTTGGTAGCAGCACTGAAGCTTTCCATACCCTATAAGTAGAAAAACAATTAGTACAGGATGTATTCTAATGTCAGTTAGAAGTATGGTGAAATCTGTGTTGTAATGAATTTCAGTGAGTGAAGACTTAAAATATTAAAGAAAAAAGGGCAGGTGGCCATAGAAGTATAGAAAAAGTAGAAGTATAGAAAAAAGCAAGTGAGCAGGGAGGAAAATGTAAGAAGTGTTTTAAGCCAGTGACGGAAAAAAGGAAGCCACATAGGTGGAATAACAGTAGTCTTATGAAATGTGGAACAAAAATTGTCCATTTTCAGTTTGAGTGTTTTGAGGGCTTTAGATTAGAAAGAAAATCCAAGATATCATATGAATCAAAAGGGTCAGTGTAGTAAGGAGAGAACTTGGGGTTGATGAGTTTTTACAGATCATGGCTCATGGATAATATCTTTAGAGAACACAATAGAAATTTTCCAGAAGCTAGGGTCAATGACAAATAAGCTAGATTAAGGATTGTACAAATGTAAACCAAACAGGGCTGTGTTTTTATAAGAAATTAAACATTACCTTCACTTTTTGTGTGTATATGTGGTGCTCAGCATCAAATCCAGGTGCTCACATAGGCTAAGCAAGTGCTGTATCATGGAGTTACATCTCTAAGTCTTCTTCAAGTCTTATGATGATGTCTCAGAAGATAAAGAGCACAGTGAAATTTGTATTCATGATCTGGAAGGGCAATTGTGATATTGACATCACTACTTTTTAACAAAACTCTTCGCAGGAACATAGAGAATTCATTGTTTCCATTTAACGTGTACTATCTTTAACAGCTAAAGTGTAAAGAAGTCAGGTAAAGAAGTAAAATAAGTTTTAGGATAGTAAGGACAATTGTTTAAAAGATACACACTATGGGAGCAACAAATTCAAGCAACACAACCTTAGAATGCACAGAGTGTATTTTCCAGTGGACTAGAAAATCTGATCACAGTCTGTTTTCAATGTGGATGAAGAGCATAATAAAAGTCCTAATTAGCTTGACATTTACTTCAATGAAGTAAGTAATGGGTGAGTAACATAATTAGATGTTGGAATAGAGAAACTGCTAGAATTATGTACATGATTTCATTGCTAAAAATTTCTTACAGTGGTGAGGTTTATGCCTTTGTGTTTTATCTAGCTGAATTGTTGAGTAGATAATTATTTTAAAAAATAGATTTTAAAAACTAGATCTATTTAATGAAGGGATTAGAATAAAAACCTATTAAAAAGATAGTGCTCCAACTGTTTTTTGACCCAGTAAATGGTAACTTAAGGAAATAAAAATTTTTAATCACTTAATTTATCACATACCTTTTTTCAATTTCTTGCAATTGAAAATCATAATTTCATGATGTTCATTTCTAATGAACTTTCCACTGATTAGATCAATCTGACTCTTCCTCTAAATTTGAGTTATTAGACATAAGTATATTATATATTTCACATGATCAACTAAAAAGTCTGCTCTAAAAATAAAAGGTTTCAAATTAAGAAATATAAAAAATGAACATGCTGTGGTAACCTTGGAACAGAAATGATGCATTATCTAGAAATTAAAAGTCAAAAATTTCTTCTGTACATGATATGAAAAGGGGTATGTTTTATTAATATGCAAAAATTAATCTCAAGAAATTATTTCTCAAGTGTAATTGTAGGGGAACAAAACACTGAATAACAGTCATCCTAGTTTTGTAACGAACTGACATTTTCAAGTCATTTTCCATTTCCTTCAAAAAATCAAACTACAGTAAGGTTTTGGTTTACAGGGAGAAAAAAAGAAACACTGGAAAACTCTGACACTTTCCAGCCCAGTATGAGGTTATTTAACAGGTAACTCTTAAACAAACTCCATATGCATTACCACTACATTCATCTTGTTTCCTATTTTTAAAAGGTGTGTGAGTGCCTGAAAAGCTTGCATGTGAAATGGGGTATGTCTTAACGATCTGAGAGTAGGGAATATGAAACTGCAGATTTATGCTTCAAAACAGTGGGGTATCTGAAATGCATGAGAAAAAAATTCAAGTTAAAAGCCCAGTTCTACATGACCTCCCTTATATTCATTCTTTGGAAATTTATATGTAAAGAAATTTAGAAGAAATAGAAGGATTAGGAGTAGCTCAGTGGTAGAGTGCTTTTGTGTGAAATCCAGGGCTCAAACCCCAGTACCACAAAACAAATAAATAAAAAGAAATAGGCATTTTGACATTTATACTTCTAAAAATCAATTTCAGGAAACACATTAGTCTTTTTTCCACTGTCATAACAAAATAGTCAATAATTCAAAGTACCTGAAAACATAAAGAAAATGGCTTTCTTCTTCACTGACAGCTTTGGGGACTGAAATCTAAGATCAGCAAGCCTCCACTCTTTGCCCTTAGTGAGGGCCACCCCTGCTTATTCACAGCTTGAGGGAAAAACAGAAAAGGAACTGGCCACATGCAGAAAGGCCAAGAGATGGGGTGGACTTGCTTTACAAAACTCCACTCTCATGAGAGCTAACTTAGTCCAAGAACCTAGCATTAATACCTGCTAGTGATGTTCCCCCAAAATACCTACTTGCCTTATGATAGGGTCTACCTCCTACAGGTTCTGCCACCTCAATATTAACACTGAGTGTGGGAGACCCTGACTGACCTCCATTGTATATTAGTAGCCGTCTGAAGCATTAAGTTTCTGTTGTCTGAGATAAGTTTCTGTTATCTTGCCTACTTCCCCGAAGAGACGCACCTTTCCCTTTAAGTCAGGACTGCCCACCGTTACCTAGCTACTCCCGCCTCTAGGGCTGGGACTGCCCACCATTACCTAGCTACTCTCGCCTTTGTCCGGTTACTTGGTTACTCCCGCCTTAAGAACTTCCGCATTTCCCCATGCCCTATATATACACAGTACTTCCTGCCAATAAACGAGACTTGATCAGAATCCTGTCTTGTCTCCATTCTTCGTGTCTCTTGTCCCTTTATCATCCCCACTCCCCCTCTAGGGTCCTCGTTGACTGTACCCGCGGGCCGGGTCAACTGAGGATAAAGTTCCATCGAGCACATGAAAGTTCTAGGGACACACTCAGTGTATCCAAATTATTGCAGGGAGATGTGAAGATGCTCGTGCAGATTTTATTTGTTTAAAGACAGGTTGTTAAAAAATTTACTGAAGTCATAACTCAAGTTAGTTACTTACTTCATATTGGGGCTAGCAAGTTTGTGATTTCTTCTGGGATAAAAGTGATGAACCAAATGAATTGGAAATTGCAAAGTAAAACTGCAAAGAATTGCAGTCATGTGACGATGATTTAGTCTCAATTTTAAAGGTCATTTACTGGTTTAGTTGTGTACATTAGAAAATTTCTGTCATATATTTGCCTCCAACTCAAGTAGAGCTTATTGAACAAAGAGAAAGCTTTTGTCTCAAAACTAACAGTGCATCGCTTAGCTTTGAGGGACAAGCTCATAAACTGAACTATTTGGAGTATTTTTAAAACTCTCCTAGTTTCAGACCCATAAACCTGTTTAACCATTGATCATATAAATATGTCAGAATACATATTACTAATTTCAAATCCTCAAACTTTTAAATACCAGATTTTTAATTATCATAAAATTTCCTAGATTCTTAGGTACTCAGATTTTTCCCTGATTGTACTGGTAAGTATATTTATTCTCATTAGTTTAATTTTTAAAATCAATCAATTATTATCTCTTAGCTTGAAATTATACCATGGATAAAAAGTTCCAAATTTTGAAGAGTAAAAAGGATTGCACACATTTAACACCAAATCACCACATAGATTTCAATTTCCACCATATAGTATTTCTTATAGTGATTTGTGTCTTCTTTTGCTTTCTGAATTTATCTCTTTTGTATCCTATCTTATTTTTATATTCTAACAATTGTACCTCCCACAAACAATCCTCCTCTGTACAGTATTTTACAACCCATTTCCTTCACATATGTATATATGTTTCTTATTTCTTTAAATCCTATCTACTTTTTGCTACTAAACTTTTATTTAATTCACAAACTATACATTATACCTTCTCTTATATCACCAGGCAGGCAACATCACCCTATATCTTATATCACCAGGCTGGTAACATCATCCCCATATATACCACTGCATTATACAGCTATTCTTATATTTGCCAAACTATTTTTATGTGTAATTTGTACGTGATTGTTCCTTTATAGATCATTGTAATTGAAGTTCATTATTCCATTTTTTTATCCATTTATGACCAAAATAGTTCATACACAAAAGTTGTGTGCATACAAATTTATTACTTGAATAAATAAGCTAATGTGTGCTAATAACAAATCCTGTGCAACAAATCCACATTCCTATGGTGGTGGGATATGACTATGCCATTGAAAACTAAACTATGCAAACCTCCAACTCTCGAACCTCAAGAGGTCTAGAAGATGCTCTTGTGCAGCAAGAAATTACTCTTGTGCAGAGAGTCTTTCATAACTCAAAAACTCTCCAGTATACTTCTCCCAGCTCAATTCCAGAAAAAAAAAAAAAATCCCTTAATTCAGGAATCCAAACAATTGGCACTGTGGACAAATATTTTCTTTGAAGTGGAAGAAATACATCATGCCTTCCTTCCATGAACTTTTCCAGACATTTTCTGTGATATTCACATTAGTAAGCATATTACTAAAACAGTTTACAATTTCTAAAACAAAAATAGAGTTGGACCAAAACTGTTAAGCCACATAGTGAATAAATCAGTGCTGCACTGTCCAAAAATGTTATGAAACCTGAAGGAAACAGAGTTAGCATCAAAGTCGTCCCAATCTTGCATAACTAACATTTACTAACCTGAAACAAAAGTTTCCAGCTCAGAGAGCACAAAATTAAAAGCGTGAAGAAAGAGACCATTGAAGTAAAAGCTACAAAATATCTGATTGCTCTCTCTGTTCTTCCTCATGAAAGATTTAGACATGAAACACTTGTTTTCAAATGCATCTCTGAAGCCTCCTGGGTGTGTAAGTCACAAACTTACTTGACTGGTTTTTGGACTTTTAATATGTGAAACGTTTTGATCAATGGCATGTGAATGAATGGGAAAATTATACCACATCAGAACTTTAAAGATGAGTTAAAGTCTATCTCTTTCCCTCTCTTGTTTCTGTATTCTTCGAAAGAGATAACCACTTCCACATCGGGGCTGCTTCCCTCAACTCCCAGAATGAGGAGACTTGGGTCACAGAGCTGAGGAGTGAGGCTGCCGGTCACCATTCTCAAGGTAGCATAAGTGAGACAAAAAATATTGTAAAGCGCTGATATTCGGAGTCTTGAGTTATTGCAGGTCTCTCATACAGAAACTAATTGATTAAGACTGCAACTATGGCACATGTACTGTGATATGAGCTATGGACATTGAGTGACAGGAAATTGAGTGACAAGAAGTATGCAAATAAAAATATTTAGATAAATAATGATTTATGTTATTTAAGCTGAAATATTTAATCAAATAGCTCCATCAAAAACTGAGGTAATGTAACTAAAGACTTTATGTCTAGATTGTTATTAGCTGTGTTTATTATAACACCACAGGGAAGAGTTGAGTTTTTAAAAAGTCATGCTGCTTTAAATTAGGAGGAAAACAAGAATCCAAAAAGTTCAGTATTTCCATGTTTGAAAGATGTGTCCAACTCAAATCCACACAGCCTAAACATAACAAAAGCAAGAGCCACATAAGCAAATGAATACAAGCCCTAGAACAACATTCAATCCATGGAAGGGAGGACACTGTCTCACTGGTAGGACATCATTGACTTATTACCAGGGAAAATAGACCAAATATGTTAGAAAAGATCACCATGTTGCTCATAAAGTATAGACTAGAGCTATGTTTCAAAAATAGTGGTGTGTACACTGGCACAAGCTGTTGACTGAAATCACACAGCAAAAAGTCACAAAAAGTTTCACAAGTTCCAGTCCAAAAAATGCCATGGTGTTGGTTTAACTTAACAGAGACCATAAATAAAGACAAAACAATCGTTAGGCCCTCAGTTTCTCGTGCCAACTATCTGACAGAGTTGTTCAGTTGCCTTAGTAGATGCATGTCCCCATGTGTCATTCTGATGTAATCAACGAAGGTCATGGGGAGTGAAAATTATTACTCCCGGGGAATAGAGCCACAGTGACCAGAAACAAGGACTGGGGGTGTACAAGCAGAGAGTGGAAGCAGGGTCTAATTATGAAATATTCTGTGTGTTTAGAGAAGCTAAATGGGAGAAATACTGAGTTTAGTTTTTTTACATAAGATGAAAGTGAATTATGACCCACTAGTAGTGAAAATTGGGGTAATGTTTATTATGGTGTGACTATCAGTTCTTTACTAATGCCAGTCAAGATGTAGAATTCCTTTACTATAGTAAAAAATAAAAGTTTCTCATTAAAATGAATGAACAACAATCAGGAAAAATTTTGTTGAACAGGTAGGACTTAAGCCATGTTGTGAAAGTGGAACATCTAGACAAGAAAGGATGAGAAAAATGTATTTTAAGCAAAATTAACAATTAGTGAAATGAGGAAGTACTGGGCAGAAATTTGGCTTGCTGGAGGTAATTTTGATTATTGAAAACATTAGATAACAGAGAAGAAAAAGAAATGGGCTAAAACTTGAACAAGTTCATAAGTTTTTGAAAGATTCTTGAAATGGGCTGTGTTTGGGAGGTCAAGGTGCAGGAGAGATGGGGCCTGGCTCCTGGTTTGTGGGAAATCCCTCTTCCATTTTTGTTCCATGCTTAAAGTCCAGGTTTCCTATGTTCCCCAACATCCCCCACCCTGTTCACACCACCTGAGAATGTGTTTTGTTTTGTTTTGTTTTGTTTTGTTTTGTTTTTTTGTTTTATTTTTGTCAGTACTTGAGATTGAACCCAAGGCCTTCTTACTGAGCTATATTTCAAATCTTTTTAGTTTTCTTAATTTGGAGACAGGGTCCCCTTAAATCTCTAAATTGCCAAGGCTGGCCAGGTGTGGACGTACACACCAATAATCCCAGCACTTGGGAGGCTGAGGCAAGAGGATGGCTGTGAGTTTAAGGTCAGCCTGTACTACACATTGAGACTGTCTCAAAAACATAAACAACAAAAAAAAATTTTTAAATAAGGGCCATGTGTGGCGGTGCACTTTTGTAATCTCAGCATTTCGGAGGTTGAGGTAAGCGGATCGCCGTGAGTTCTAGGCATGCCTGGCCTACACAATGAGTTCAAAGATGGTCTGAACTACCTGACAAGATTCTATCTTAAAAATAAACAAGTAAAATAAAATTAAATGAATAAGTAAAATAGTCTATATCAGTGCTATGCATTTATGAATGTGACATTGTTATAGGCAGACCCTAATTTATGATGGTTAGATACACAAATTTTTAAATTTATGATAGTGGGAAAGTGATGCAATTCTGTAGAAAGCATACTTCAAATTTTGATATTTTCCAGGCTAGTGATATGCCGTAGGATGATCAGGGCAATGATGAGCTGTGGCTCCTAGTCAGCCACATGATCCTGAAAGAAAATAATCCATAAATTTGCAGTGTACTGTGTTGCTAGGGTATGCTGTTCAGTAGGCCAAATATATACAATGCACTTTAGGTGTCTGATATTTTCAATTCATGATAGATTTATCAGACTAACTCCATTATAAGTCAAAGAGCCTCTACATAGCACAGTCAGGTATATTATAGTCATAACTTTCTAGCTTTTCTACTCATAATTTACTGTGAATATGATAAGATGTAATTTTTTTTGAAAAGTACTCCTAATTGAATAGAAAATGAAACATACTTCCTGTGTTTACACTCTTATATTAGATTTGTTGGAAAATATTTGAAAGACAATTTGCATGAACTGTGTCTGAATTCATATCCTTAAAAAGTGTTCTCAATATTAAACTAAATATAATGCACATACATATGCACAGTGACCAATTATATTATTAAAATTATCCACATTATTTAACACAATTTTCAGTCCAAAATATAAAGAGGTATTTGTTTGTATAAGATTAGTAGCTGTTCTATCTTATTTAGTAAAAGACTAGCACTGTCAGTTACTCAGAAGGGTTAAACTTGAATTATACACCAAAGAAAGACCTGTGACCCAGAAATTAGAGTCCTCAGTGACATTTCTTTCCATCTTAATGTCATCAGAGGCAAAATTTTAAGGATAAGAGTTTATTTCAAAATGATGTGTGAGGGCCAGGGATATAGTTCAGCAGCACAAGCACTTACCTGGCAAGTGCAAGGTCCTTAGTTCAATTCCTAGCACACACATACACAAAAAAAAATTGAGAAAAGAACAAAATGACAAGTGAACATCATAGCAATTTTTCTTTCCATCTTTTAGAAAAATGATGATTTCTAATAACTTTTAAAAATTGTTAATAGATTGCAAGTGGTCTGTAACAAAGAATTTTATTTGATTTTATTTGTTGGAGGAATTTGTTGTGTCATTAGGCATCTAACTCATCTTCTAAGAGGTGCACTTTTTTGCCAATATGAAAAGTTTAAAGATGAGCAGATATTAATGTAGCCTGATGATGTCACTCCATTCAACAATTCAATGACTCAATTTAGTTATTTTATTTTCCAATCTTAACTGAATGCTAACAGTTTCCTAGATTAAGATTTTACTCTGAGGAAAACAATAGCCCCGTTTTTCTCTTTGCAATGGTAAATTTGATCTTGATTCAGCAAATTAAATTTGAAAGCTTACCACACAAGCTTAACATTATGTCTTGTATAAATACTGGCAAAGATATGAACCCAAAGAAATTATTAGCATATTTACAACATTGAATGCTGAAAGTAAAGCCTTGTGGATTTAATTAATTTAGTAATTTGCATAAGACTTACATCCTATAATATCATAGTAGATGAAGTGGAGGGAAGGTTTTTTGAGGAACCTCCAAATAAAATTCTTGGCTCAAAACTGAAGTTTCCAGAGAGCTAACCAAAGCATTCCTCTCTAAATCACCTTGATACGGGCTCAACTTAGAAGCTGCTCTAACTAACAGAACTTGCTTTTTCCTTGGATTTATATATGACTAAATGTTCAACATTATTAGTCATTTGAGAAATGCAAATTAATACACAATGGCTAGTGGTCCAAAACATCTTAGTCAAAGCAGAATGGAAGCTCCGCATCTCCTCCTTTGGGTTGCACCTCTCTTTCTTTGTTACCTTAAATTTAGGTCCAATCCCTGCTCCACCCTGAACATAGACATGTCAATTATTTAAGGAGGTTTTGTCTAAAACTGGTATTCTTCCCACACTTCAGACATCAAGGTAAGAGTAAGATATTTTCAAGGTTGGCAGGAACTTTCTCATGGCAGAAAAGGTTTGGCAGTTAAACTGGATTTGTGAATTTAATTGGCTTGGGAGCCCCACCGGGGATTAGTGAAGCACACTCCTGGGTGTGTCTGAGTGGGTTATGGAGGTGGGATCCTAACATTAATTCTAGTCCCTTGTCTCTTTTCTGGTGCTGTTCCCTGTTCTGCATCATGTCTGCCATGACCCTTGTTCTGCCATGCCCTTCTGCCGTGATTTCTGTCTTGCAGCCCGTCAACCATGGACTGAATTTCCTGAAACCGTGATCCATAGTAAATCTGTACTCCATGAAGTGGTAAGTGTTGAGCATTATGTCTCAGTGACAGGAAAGCTGACAGGTTCTGAGAAATAAAGCAGTGCTATTCAAAAAGGAGTTGAAACATAGTATATCAGCAGTTGGAGGCTTTGTGATGGGTGAAAATTTGCAGGAAAAAATTCATAAGAGTCTGATTGCAGGTATATGGTGTGGAATGGACAGAAAAAACAGGCTATGCTCAACATAGAAGGTGTAATATATTTTGTAAGCATAGAAAAAGTCTAAAGATTCCAAATAGCACTTGATATGTACCATTAAAGAATACCAGAGTTAGATAGTATTTAATGCAATTAAAACAGAAGTTTTCAGGAACTATTACAACATTATAAAGAGACCTTAGTGTAGAACAGGACTAAATCCTGAGTACAGTAAGAATGAGAATTTCTAGCTCAGGAAGTTGTGGAAAGGGGACAGAAACATCACAAGAAAGGGTGGACTATGATGTAACTACCTGCATGGATTTCGTGTGGGTAGCAGATCAGAGTGAGTAGATATCAGGTATGTTGGGAGAATAGGTATTGGAGCAGATATTGAGAATGATCAAACATCAAGGGTGGGTGATTCTCAGTAAATTGACCGCAGGATTCTTTCTACAACAGGACAATGGAATCCAAACAAAAATGGCACCAACTGGAGGCATAAATAGCACAGGACTTAGGCACAGTCAGAATGATCGTTATTCCAGAATGGTCACATAGAATTTATGAGTTAGCTTTCCTGTCCCTGAACCATGGCTACTCATATTTGGCTCAGAATAAATTTGTTTCTTATTTCCTTCAGAGCACAGTTGTTATTTTCCACAAACAATACCAAAAGGTTTTACCAATTCCTTTTTATTTATTTCCATCCAGGAAAGATAGCAAATATTACTAATTCATCTGAAAGGAGCTAATGAATGGAAGAAATGGTACCTTAAAACTAAATGTGACCCACAAGAATGCCTAGTAAATAGGTAAGAAGTACGTGGTTAACTCTTTCAAATACTTATAGAATTAAGTATATATCTACTCAAACCATTTGAGAGCATTTTCATTAATTTCATCTCTTTATCAGCCCACTTTGTCTATCTTGATATATAGTTAATCATTTTAACTCTAAAGACCAAATAAATGCCTCAAGGTGTTCAGTGGCTTTGTAGGCTCCCTACAAGTAAACTGAAAATATCTGATAAGGAATTGCAATATTCCTTTTTCCTAATTAAAACTGAGATTTTATTACCATTTTCAGTAGTTATTTCATCTGTGATTTGGAAGTATCTGCTGCCTCATGACTCTCACAGAGGAGAAAGGTCATGACTAATTTTGTATTAGCATTTTGCTTTTGTCTAGTCACAGCAGGAACTATTGCTCTCTGTCATGTTTAAACAAAGGAATCTGTAGCTTCTATGGTGATGGAGAAACTGTGAAATGCCTGGGTAGGGGTTAATTAAGCATGAAAAAGATTTAACATCTCTCTCAAAGCAGATCTCTTGGAGAGATCATTTTCAGAGGAGTATACATATGTGCATTTTTAAGTACTTTAAATATATATATTCTTTTAGATAATGGAGAACCAGCCATATCATAGAAATTAGAACTAGAAAGAACATAGTAATATTTAAGAAATAATTTTAGAAGTACACTAGGAAATCTATCATGTTTTGTCTGTTGAAAACATACAATTGGAGTACGTTTTACCACAACTGTTTTACCTGAGATCAAACAACAGTTCTATTTTATCAACAATTCTATTCTTATCCTGAGTCATCTAAGAGAAAACGTAGAAAAAAATTCCATGAAAAGGAAGTTAACTTGTATGTTGGGTAAAATCAGATTTTATGAAAATAGATACTTGTGAATGAATCCCCACAGCTGTAGAGAGTCTGAAACATTAATAAGAACATAGAAAAGAAAACAGAAAAAAGAATGTAGGGGGATAGAAAAACTCAGGGAAATAACCACCCTTTTGAAAGTTTCTTCAATGAATCAAAGATCTTAGAAAAAATATAGATCTTGCCTTTTCCCTCGGGCCACTTTCCACATTAAATCCAGACTATGTGAGGTACACAGGAGTGAAGGAAATCCCATGTTCAAAATGCAAAATAAGTTTACCCATGAAGCACTAAGAAAGCGCTGAGAATTATAAGATGTTTAAATCTTTATTTACTCACTGGTTATAAAATAAATAGCTAAAGAGGATTTATGTGCTTATGAAGAATTTAGAATGTTAGAGAATTCAGAGTTGTAAATTTATTAGATTTAAATGATGACTAGAGACATCAAGATGTGAGAAACTTCTGCTTGGAAGGTAGACTTCCAAGAAAACGTTTAATGCAGGGAAGTTTAAATTACTGAACGACAGGAAGAAAATTCTGAATTTTTAAAATATGAGTAAATGATCTTAAGCAAAACCTTAATGCCTAGATTTGTGCGTGCTTTCTTCACTAAATGTATGAGATTTTAAAGTCCATTAAATGTCTTCTTGAATAATACTTTAACTATTTTTTGTAAAGATAATAATAATAAAATGTATATATATATCAGATTGCATTATATTTTTAAAGGACAACTCTGTATAATAATAATGCATATTTTCTGACAATTTAACTATATAAATATAAGTACAAAATGTATGGAGAAAACTTGAAGGCTTAAAGTGAATAAATGTAAATAAACATGTTATCCTTGAAGTCAAATAATTGGAAGTAACTTATTTTCATGAGTCAGATATCATGTATATAAAACTTGTCACTTATAACAATAAATTAGATAAATTTTTCAAAATTTTAAAAAATTCCTGTGCCCTGCACTTAAAATAAACCAAAATAATAGAACTAATTCTAATCAGCCTTGGTGTGGATCTGTGATGAACATATCATCTGTTCCTTTGTAATTAACAGTCATGCATTTTAAAATGTAAAGATCAACTAGCAAAACATATTTTCAATGCATTACTTCCTGATTGCCATAACCCTCTTTGTTCTGTGGAATAATTCCTTTTTATTCTTTCAGCAGTGTATCTCAACTGTCTTTCAAATGATTGCTTTATTGGCTGTGATTTCATTTGAATGTGAAAACTTATCAGATATGCATTTCACGTTAGAAACTTACTCTCCTTGTTTTCAATACTTACATTAATTTTTTTCCAATGTACATTGTTAGTCTTTTTAATAAATCTGTCAAGTGTGACTCCAAGTCTTTTTGTCCCAAGGGTATACCAAAAGTCTTGGAAGTGAATGAGTGTATGTGTGTATTCATACTGGGATAATTTATTAATATACTAAAGAAAAATTATACATAGATGTATTAAGAATGAAATTGGAAAAATTTTGAGTTTATGAGTGGTGGAAAGTTTTCCTCATTTCTACATAAATGTTTTAAGCAAATAAGGAAAGAAATCTTGCTAAAATATGGCAAGTAAAAGAAAAATAAAATTGATGTCTACTAATGGGTATGATTTTTTTTCAGTGTAGGGAACTGAACGCAGGACTTTCACACTAGGCTACATCACTACCTCCCTTAGCTGTTTTAAATTTTGAGATAAGTTCTCACTAAGTCACTAAGTTGCCGAGATTGGGCTCCAATTTGTGACCCTCCTGCCTTAACCACCCATAGTGCTGGGATTACAGGCATGAGCCATCATGCCCAACTCAGATTTATTTTTAAATGATGCTATTATAAGAGTATTTCATATTATGAGATGATAATTATATTTAATATTTAAAATGACTAATTCTGTATATATAATCTTTACTTAATAAAATATTATATGTGTATTCATATATATATGTATATATCCATATATGTATGCATGCATGCATTTAGAAATGTTCTTATCCTGAAAGTCTAATGTGGAAGCAAACTTGTAAACTGATTCCATTTGACTCAGGAGCCCCACTGCAGGGTAACAGAAATACATCAATATATATATGATTCATTAGATAAATCAATCACTTTTAAACATATCCATTTGAAAAAGCCCAGGGTAATAAAACCAAATGTAATTCTTAACATCTTTAAATAAAAATGCTCAGTCAGACTCCTGCCATTCCTTCTAGCACTCCTCTGAACTCACTTTGGCTTATGGCTGAAGGTCTATGCCACCTTAAATTGCATACTATTGGCCCTGACATCTCAATTTACCATATGCTGGTGTGCTATGATTAAAATGTTTAAAAATGAGCTCTTTGGAAAATACCTAAGTGAAAGGCCTGATTTGTGTCACTTGCCAATTTCCAATGTGTAAATATCCTTGAGCTCCCTTTTAAAACAACCGATGTGTAATTATTGAGAAAAAAATGTGCATAGTTGGCTCTAGGAAACCAGCAGGTACTTGTCCCAGGCTTCGCTGTTTCCAAGACACAATCTGTCCTCAGGCACACGTCTTCTGCATTTGGGATTCCTTTAAGGCTAGTGTAATGTATGACCTGTTCGCTTCAAGATTCCTCAGGACCTGTATATTATGCCTTACTTTTTACCTGTTGAAAATAGAAGTTTTTGTTTTCTGTTTTTATCTTAGGGCTAGAGAGTAAATATTTAGACGTGTGGAGCAAGTGATTTATACTGCAACAAGTTTAACTGAGCCTTTGAAACCTAAAAGCAACCACACATAGTTGGGGAGAGGTAAAGAATTTGACCGTTTTCTAATAAAACTTTATTTATAAAGACAGATCAGGGCCTGGAGGCCATAGTTGGTGGTCTACTCCTCATGACCTTCTTGTTCTTCACTTTAGCTTTCATCAAGCTCGGAGCATCACAATAAGACACTGTTGTCACTGAGCAAGTGAACAGCTATAATATCTTTCATTGTATAAGCATGAAGTTTCCCAAAGACTCAGATCTTGAGCTCTTGAATCCCTGTGTGGATATTCTTTGAATATGGGATCTAGAGAACTGACTAGCTCATGAGGGTTTAACTTCATCTGTAGCTTAACCCATCAATGAAATCATAATTTGACGGCATTAGTAGGAGGTAATGGAAACGGACGGTAGGTCACCGTTG